TTCTGTTTTGATGAAATTGATTGACATCAGATGGATCAAACCGTTTCAAGAGAGAAAGACTTAGAATATGATCTTGAAAGTGGTGGGAATACTAGTGAGAGGAGGGGAAAGCAGGACCTTGATTGCAGTGAAAAACGATGGAAGAATTTATTTAGTTGGACATGGAATAGGCTTCCGAACTTTGATGGTTCCAAAAAGCATGAAAGTGGGGTTGAAACATGTAGCAGTTCGTCAAAATCAGCTGATGTTATGGATGATGGTGTACCACTGCATCATGTAGATGCATGTTTAGAAGATGTACATAAGAAACTGCCTCATGTAAAGAATAATAATGGCAAAGAAAAGAAAAAGAAGACTAACGCAAAGCCTCCTAAGCCCCCACGACCACCTAAAGGCCATTGCTGGATGCTGCTGATAAGAAGCTTGTGCAGGACATTGCCGAGATTGCCTTGAGGAAGCGTGAAAGGATTAAGAAAATGAAGGCTACAAGGAAGATGAAGGCAAGAAAGGCATCATCATCATCATCATATGCTGGTCTTTCTGCCATGGTCATCACTATTTTCTTTTTTGCCATCATTATAATCCAAGGTAAATTTAGGGTTCTTTTATTGAGATTGACTTCCTTGCACTGCTACCTACCTAAACTTTCATCCCAAATTTGGTTTGTGTCAAACATGGCATCACTTGAACCGGACCGCTGAAGTTGTTTCTCTATAACTGCTGAATCATGATCTCTCTTGGTTTCATAAATAGGACTTTGGCCTTGCTGTAGCTTTATTCTTCTGCATGATGGATGCTAAGATGCTCAAATCTGACATCCCAGTGGATCATAATGATGATGCTTGTGTGACATTCTGTTCAGATTGAGTATATAGTATAATAAAGGCTTTTTGCCAGTGTTCCCTGATGGTCCAATCCTAGGATGTCACTTTACCTCCAACATGAAACCAGATACATGTAACATAATATAGATATTTGCGATAAGCATGTAGAATGGTGTATGAATTTGTTTACTTACTGAATATTGATCAAACATCCTGAGAGATTGAAAGCACGACTTGGAGCAAGTTTCTGTTGGTAATCTTTCATTCTATTGGAAAATGTCCATTTCCTATATTACCTCTGTTCTTAAAGAGCACAACATTCACTGCACAAATATTACTAGGCCGTGCTAATTTCGTTTTGTTGTTTCGTTCAAAGCACACTGCATGGGCACACATGAAGATATTTGGAATGGACAGTCCCCTGTAACATATTTAACTTTTGAACTAAGTTTAGAATTATAGCCTATTTCACTTCCTTGGTGTTATGGTGCTCTTTGCACAATGTTTTGAGCTCATTTAAAAGCTTTGAAGAGAATCCGGTTTTGGTTGAAACTTAAACTCCGCTTTGGTGCATCTCTAGTGAAATAGTTTGTGTTCATGAAATAACTTTCAAGAGACTCTGTACGCGCATACGGTGTTCTGCATGTTTATTAGATACTCTTGTTACTGAGAGTTTGCAGGAATAAGATCAGGACGTGGCGCTGCTGTTGGAGTAATGGCTTCACCCGAGCCGAGCATTGCAGCAGATGAAGGTTTAATTTCTGTCCGTTTTTCCAAGAACTTCACCCACGAAGGTGATGCACCTTGCTCTCATTGTCCAACTCTGTATTCTTTTGCCATTATTGCTGCAATCTGATTGTTTTTCAACTTGCGTGTGTTAATGCAGTTGTGCAGGGTACATGACACCGACACTGTGAAGACGATTTCCGCTACATTTAGGCTGCTCCAAGTAGTTTTGGATCATTTATTTTTTCTTGTACAGCCCCTTGGATGGTCTAAAGTTTGCTAGTAGACTGAGATGGCTCAGTTAATACAAGTCATGCACCGATTTACTACGTTTCTATCGAATTTTAGTGATGTAGCATATGGAGGCCACTCCACCAATGGTAGCGAGAATTTAGAACGCTTTTCCCCCTGCAAAAAAAAGGGCTTAATTAGTAGTTATCTAAAAATAATAATAATAATAATAATAAAAGCGGTATATGCAAAGCCTTTTTTTTTTTTTGGTGGGGTTTTTGGGTGAAAGAAGCAGTCTTGCAGTGCCGATATGCCAAGTTGCCAACAATGAAATTTACTCTTTATTATTATTTTTATTATTTAGTGGATTAGCGAATTCCCCACCGCTCCTCGTCCCGGGTTGGCGGGCTCTAGGGTCGGCTTTCGATCCAACTGTCGTAGCCATAGGGAAATGTCGGTGGAGCGCCTAACCTTACGAAACAATAGAAAGGGAGTTTGGCCAAACTCCAATGAGGGTGAAAATTGGCCCCAAGTCCTAACCCCCCGAAAATCTGTGCATTTGATGTGCAGAACGAATTTAAATAAAGACATAATGTACAGTAAAAAACAATTTTATATACTATTTTTAGTTCTAATTATAAAAGCTAATTGACTAATTTGAAGAGATTAAAAAAAGAAGTTAGGTTAGTTATTTGTAATAAATAGGTGTTGTCTTTCTTAAAATATCTTTGCTAATTAAGTGTGTTAGTTAAAATTATCATTGTTAGAAAGACTACTTTTAAAAAATATATAAATATAAAAGACAAAATGGATTGATGTCTTATATTTAGGATCAAAGTAAAAGTTAAATAAAGTCTTATATTAAAAACCGGAGGTAGTATTAAGATACTCCTCCAGTCCTTAATATAAGACCCATTTAACTAATTTGATTAGATTAAGAAAGTTAGGTAAATTAGTTAATTATAAGAAATGTGACACGTTTTTTTCTAAAATACTACCTCGGCCCTCATTATAAGAGTCAGTTGACTAATTTGAGGAGATTAAGGAAGTAAGTTGAGTTAGTTATTTGTCTTAAATATGTGTTGTCTTTCCTAAAATATCATTGCTAATCAAGTGTATTGACTAGAACTATCATTGTTAGAAGAGCAACTTTAGAAAAAAAATATAAATATAAGAGACAAAATGGATTGGGATCTTATATTTATGACCAAAATAAAAGTTAAACAGGGCCTTATATTAAAGACCGAAGGTATTACCATAATCATCTTTTTTAATACCACATCTTCTTCTTCTACTTGATTATGGTTGAGGACGTATCTACACGGGTAATTTAGAAAAAAAATTGATAAATATGAGAAATATATCTTATATTTAGGACCAAAACTAACTCAATAATTAGGTTCTATATTAAGGACCAGAGGAGTATCTTTTATACAGCAGATAAACAAGTAACACTCCTCTGATCTTTAGAGAGGCGATTTTTTTTAATAAGTCACATTATTAATTTTTTAATAAATATTGTATTTTTTATTTATTGTTGGGTAGATTTTGTTTTCATAGAATATAATATATACTAAATAAAGTTAATGTTGAAAAGTTGTTAAATTTTAAAACAGAATTAAAAAAAAATTTAATTATGATGAAATATATATGTTGATAATGAATTATAGATAACATGAAAGAGTATTCATCACATGTGTATATACGCACGACGCCGAATATAATTGGTATTATAAAATGAATAAATGAGAATGGGAAGATAACGTGATGCATGGCAAAACCGAAGGGAATTGAAGGCTGGCATTGGGTGCCCAGAAAAGCAGGGGCAGCCGAACCGCCGGAGAAGGAGGAGGCATCTGAGTGTGAATGTGTGATGGCACTTTGAGGATTTGGTCTTCTCCAACCAACTGGAAGATGGGCACCGCGGCTTCTGCTTATGCACTGATGATTAGTTAATTTTACACCTCACGTCACCCAACTTGCCCCAGTTTGAAAATCCATTCTCTTATGGGAATGTGTGGTCCCCTAAGCCCGGATGCAATTTGGAGGGAGGGATGGATGAATATGGAGTGAAACGAGTGCAGGGTTTTGGAAGTGGAGACCGGTGTTTGCAGCGCACGCAAGGAGATATATGTGTATGTACTCTTCTAGTCTTATTTATAAGATATTTTTAGTATGTTTCACACAAACCTAAAAAAAACCTTAAATTTTATTAATTTTTATTTAAAATTTAATAACTCTCTAATTTTATCCTATTTAATATGCATTATACTTCATATAAATAAAGTCAACACAATAATAAATGAGGGGTAAAATTGTACATCTATATAATAAATTTTCTCTCAGTGTCTTATAAACAGGACCAAAAAATACTTTATGTTTCTGTTTTATAAATAGGACAAAAAAAGTACGTATGAACATGGAAAAGTCAAAAGGCACAGGTCGGCTTGAGGGAGAGGCTCTCGATCCCCCTGAATCGTCCACATTCAGAGAAGATGTTTCTTTTCATGCGCACTTAAAACAGGACACTCCCTCCCCTCCTCTTCACGTTCATCCTACGTATCACTATTTCCCCATTCGCCCAATTCTGCGTAATCCACTCATCCCACGAACAACTCATCCCTCCGCCCATCCATTCTTATCTGACCTGCATGTTTCCCAAATTCCCCCTCACTTCATATTTCCATCATATTTTTTTCATCATCAATTAATATGTCTTCAGGACTATCATCATGGGACTCGGTTTAATATCCTGCTAAAATAACAACTCTATCTTCACTTTGACGCGCAGAAAAACTTAATTTTATCTGAGGATAATCATTTTGCGCCATTCATCGATTTCAGTGCCGTTCGGGACATGCCACATCCTACTCAAGCACGCGGCCACCTAAATTTGATGGGTCAGGTCAACAAGAGGCGCTCCCTTCGTCCTATATAACCCATAAATGCATAAACAGCTCTACCTCTTTCTCTTTTGTTCCAAAGGCTTTGAAACAATTGAAAGCCGCCGTGAGAGGAGTTTTTTTTTGGTGGGGGTAGAATCAACCACAAAAGTCATTTCTAAATATAAATAATCAAAACGCCACGCACAGCTAGGACGCGAAACTGATAAATACTCTGAATCAACACAGAGGCTGCTACTCAAGCAAGAAGACAGAACCAGAGCGAGTGGCTTGTTCGTGCTGAGACTGTATGCTGAGATCGGCGGTGATAATAGATGGCGGCGTGCAAATGTCCAGTTCCACTGTCAATAATTTAGGAATAATGAGCATGATGATGTTATATACATAGAGCGAGCAAGCTGATTAAGGATGATTTATTATGGGCTGGATAGGTTCAATAAACCCCCGTAGGGTCTCGAGAGGTTCCTCAGCTCGAAAATCATCCGAGTCTTACCAAGTCAAACATTAGCGCTTGGTCCGACTCCGACTCAAAGCACTATTCATGTTCATCACATACATGTATCAATGGTGTTGAATTCTGATCGCAAGGAAAGTGAAAGACTTTGACGGTGCTGACCCACGAAGCGCTCACTGTCTCATAGTATGACTTGGCCCATTATTACTAGCAGATAAACATGCTTTTGGAATAAATAATCTGGGAGGGGCAGTAGGTGGAGGCTTTAATGAGAAATGACCCCTCGGATTCATCAACCTCAGGTCACAATGGGCCGTCCCGTTTTAATGTTTATGTGAGCCCCGAAAGCTATATTATTATGCACTTTTCATTTATTTCTCACTAGGCTCCATCACATTTACGCCTCCTGCCCCTTTCTTCCTAAAAATATCTTCATCATGTCCCTGGTATTCAACTATCCTGGAAATCTGCCATATGAGGGGGGCGAGAGAGAGAAGAAGAGGAAGAAAAGGGTTGGTGATGGCCATTTAATTTATTCTTGCATTTTCTTCCCTTGGCAGCCCGCCTATCCCCGCCTTGAGTCTTCTTTCTCACGAGTCAACATTATTAGTCAACATTAAGACGACGTGCGTTTTTGTGTGTATGTTCATCTGATCGCAAGTTCACGTACGACAATTTATAAATAAGTCTACATTAAAAAGATAATCTGTATATTCTATTTTGAGAATTTTAGGATTCAGAAAAATGAGAATTACTCCCATTAGAGTTGTGAAAATGCGGAGTTCAGATGCAACACGATGCCCACTGAAAGAAACTGGAAATACAAAAGCAAAACACACGTCGTTTAGTAATTAGGGGCCTCATGAGAGGCGCGTACTTGCGCCCCTCGGGGATCCCGTCTGTCTTACGGCTTTCATGGGTGACCCCAGACGCGAGTAATAATCATAACGGATGAGGGATCCAAGTCAACACGAGCGTGTACGAGTATACTATTTTACGGTTCTGACCCCATGCCCCAGAAACGACAAGCGTGACGCCCAAACCTCAGGGTAATCCTCTTGGAATTTGGAAGTCATAAATCAACCAAGAAAGAAAAAGTTAGATTTGCATGGCAATCATACGCTGGCTAATGGGATCTAACGTCTCCACAAACAAGATGCCATTGTTGTAATAATAAAGTTCTTCTAAGGGCGTTGATGGACCAGCAGCCATATAAATACGTTGGTTCCGTTCGGAAACCTGACTCCCCTGCCTTTCGTAACCACCGTATCGAAGTATATCTACATGGCCAAGATATTCAGACCGTTCTTCTTCAGAGCTCCATTCTTCTTTTGGTACCGTTTTCTTCTCAAGCAACTCAAGAACCTCGTTGGCATCCCCAAAAATATTGGCAATACCTTCGGAACCCAGTTTAAATACCAAAAGTATTCCTCTCTGGCTTATAGATCAGACCTCGACGACCATACTTTAATCTTTGATGTGGAAGGAACTCTGTTGAGATCTCCTTCTCTGTTCCCTTACTTTGTGCTCGTGGCTTTCGAAGCTGGTGATCTCTTTAGAGCCACTTTTCTCCTTGTGTCATATCCTCTGGTTTGTTTGGTGGGAGACCGAATGGGGATACAAATAATGGTTATGATAAGCTTCTTTGGGATCAAAGCAGAAAGCTTCAGAGCGGGAAGGGCTGTTCTGCCAAAGTTCTTGCTGGAAAACGTTGGGTCCGAAATCATCGAAGTGCTGAGCCGGGGTGGAAAGAAAGTGGGCGTCAGTAAT